CCCCAAAACCCCAAAACCCCAAAACCCCAAAAGGTATTTCTCCAATTGAATTGACTGTTTCATGCTTTACTAATTCCTCGAATAAAATTTCACTTCAGTTGCAGGGCTTAATTTGAATATGAAATGCTCGAGAGCCTCTTTACTGTCTATAAATGACTTAATAATGAAAATGGATAGATGAAGTAAGCATATTTTCACACAGAGACTGAATACGAACTTGGAAACAGTCTTAGTCCAAACTTACCTTGGATATCACAATCGACCAGACTGAGCTTGTCTGCTGTAGGCACTTTGTGAACCTGCTTACAGAGGCATGAGCCAAATTCAGAATCAAAGTCTCAATTAATCCTACAGTTGTTCAACACAAGATGCTCGATTGAGTTGCAAGCAACAAGAATCCTTTTGAACTGAGCAATAGAGATTTTATAGCGGTATAAAGTCAAATTCTTGGCTTTAAAAGCGTTCTGGGCAATCAATAGCAAATGTCATCCAAGCTTACAAGTAGGAGTATTTGAAACAAGGTTTAAACTTTGCAACTGGTGTTTCATTGGATTGAAATAATTACGATAAATCCTCCTCGACTCATTTAAATTCTTTGTAATGTACAAACGTTCAACTTTGGGCAACCTCAATGCTTTGAACTTTGCTAAGAATAACTTGAACTCAGTATTAACATAGAAGGATTCTTGCTGATAATAAGCCCTCCTCTTTTCAATGATTTCAGACCCAGTTGCGAGTATCATCCAATCCAGAGCCTCTTCACTCTTCAGAAGGAGCCGCTCAGTTTCTCCAGTATTTATACGACACTTACCGACCAGACCTGTCTGGATGGACTTCTTCCAGGCTCTCAGGTTTGTTGACAACTCCTCTTTATATTTGCCCATGAATTTGGTGTAAGTATGATACTCTCATAGTCCTGTTGCATCATAAATCTCAATGTCACACACATAGCAATAAAATATCGCATTCATAGTTGATTTTATAATTAAATCAGAATTTGCCAATATTTATACTCCAAGTTGGGGTTTTGGGGTTTTGGGGTTTTGGGGTTTTGGGGTTTTGGGGTTTTGGGG